ATCCCGACAGGTCATAATCCCGACAAAAAAATCCCGACAGTCAAAAATCCCGACAATTAAAAATCACGACAATCAGAATTGTCGTGTAGAAAATCCCAAATATGGAGTATGTTTAAAATGAAGTAGACTCTTATAATTTAATTAACTTTAGGGTTAGGTCACTTTAGATAAGGGTTAGGCTTTGGTTTATGATATTTTTTTATCAAAATTTTTAATTGTCGGGATGTCGGGATTTTTGCTGTCAGGAATTTTTTGTCGGGATTATGACCTGTCAGGGTTTCGCTTGTCGGGATTTTGACCAAACCCGAATCTATTATGCCGAAATCACCAATTTAATTGAATCGCCAAAAAATTATTCACTAATTTTATCAAATGCCTCAAAATTTATAATAACAGCTATAAAAGGCTTGGATGACGACTTTTTCAATTGACCTGTTTTCAGTTATCTTTCATTCGGGTGACTAATAGCTCGAGTGACCCGGTTGGAGATTTTTTAGACGGGTCCAAACACTAGTTATGTAAAACAAAAAAAAATTTTATGTGGCCGAGTACTGTTCCTTACACGGTACTAAAAGCGAGCCCTAATCCTAGCTTTATTTCATTTACTCCGATATAGTAGTAGGATAGTATATTAGATGCCCTTTTTTAGGACACTATCAAGAACAGTATATAAATCGATTTTTTTCCTGTCTAATCAGGAAAAGTACGATCCATCAGGAATGGTACTTTAGCTAATCTGGTATGTAAAAGTTTGGGTAAATTTTAAATTTTTGATATGTAGTATGTATAAAAGTGGGTATAAAATCTAAAAATTTTGGAATTTTTTAGAATCTTATGATTTAAATTATATAATTGTTTGGGGTCCTGTTACACCTACCCTATAAAACAAAGTGTTTAATTTTTGTATAATTTTGTATATACATTTAAGAGAAAAAGTGCCATTTTGTTTATCTTTGTATAAAAAATTTTTTTGCGATAAAAATTTGCGCAAAATGATACTTTCAAGCAATTATTGTCGCGAATTATAATGAAATCGGATTAAAATGAAATGCCCAACTAACCCTTACCCTAATTTTTATCAAATAGTCAAAAACATATGACTGGACACGGCTCTTATTTTAGTTGTGCAGTTTACCGGCTTTTACGATCTATAGTTTGTGGTACATTGGTCTTTCCAGTTTTTTTTTCATACAATATCGTTTCTTATTTACATGTAAATCAATGAACATTTGAATCAATAATAATAAAAATGATTTACATGCCGGTATATTGGTTTGAATTTGTCCGAATTAGCTAGATCGGAAAATGTCGAAGGGTGATTTTCCTAGCAAAGATCCTATATTTCAAATAAGACAGCGGATTTGCACAGTTCCTTTATTTCTGTGTTTATTAGACTGCAAATCCTCCGATATGAAATTTTAGTATCATCTGATTTCAATATCATCCCCGAAATTTATTAACACATTAATATAGTTAAATAACGCAAGCAAAAAAAAAATGAAAGTTAATCTATCGTCCACAAAATTGAAAGCGTTTTATATAGTCTATAAGCTCTTGTCTTTGCAAGCGCTTAGCTGACTTGAGCTGAGCAGAAAGTGCATCGCACTAACAAAATCCACAAACATATATTACTGTAAAACTGGCTTCTGATTTCATATTGTAGATCATTTTGACCAAAAACAGTGAATACTATGAAGCTATATTTGAGCTATGTTAGATCATTTTGACCCAAAACAATAAATATAATGATTTCTAATTAGCAATTTTGAAGTTAGCGTTAAACCTGGGGATTCCCAAATTTAGCGTTGATCCCCCCATTTTTTACGTACTGTACGTACGTTGTGATGGACTCTGCTATAGCTTCACTATTTTTTTTATATATATATAGTCGTTATTCTATTCTATTTTATTTTTTTATATATATATAGTCGTTATTCTATTCTATTTTATTTTTTTATATTATTATTATATATTTGTCCCTTTTTCTATTTTTAGTTTTCTTCTTGCTATGAATTGTTTTCCTTTTTAGAAAGCTTGAGAAAAAATCCAGTTAACATTTGTTTAATAGTCTTCCCAAAAGTAGTAAACGAAAAAGAGATCATTACCTTAGAACGTTCATTATAGTCTATAAAAAATGTTGATCCGTGTTTATTATTCCATGTTTTTTCCATGAATGTTTCATTTTCATGTAATTTATAACCTTAAATCATGGAAATTTTCATCTCCCTAACACGGATATCCATAAATGTATCATTTTCATGGAATTTTTACGGAGGCCACGGAGAAATAATGGAAATATTCGGATAAAAATTTTTTATAGGGTAGTTAATATAGCGAATATAGTCGTTATGTAATTCATAAGTATGTAAACGATACAAGAGACTCGCCTTTTCACTCGAATAAAGACTAACTTTTGGAGTTCAAAACACTTAGAATAAGAGTAGACGTGTTTGTCTCTAACCTTTGTTAAAAATTATTCGTTCGTCGTTATCGTATATTCTTGCCCCTGTGACTGTCGAATATCGTATTGTCATACAAGCTTATATATTTTAATCGATTTTTATTCATAGGGATATCATTATCGGGATTATGTAGATCTTGGATTTACTGTACATCGCGGATAGAAGTGCAGGCAAATCGTCCCAATGATGCCGTAACTTTTCCGTAACGTGCCGTAACTATATTAAATAATTATAAAAAGTTACGGCATGTTGGCCGTAACTTTTTATAATTATTTAATATAGTTACGGCACATTACGGCATCATTGGGACGATTTGCCTGCACCTCTAATCGCAGCCATAGTACACGGTGTAACAAAATAATGTAAGTCGATTTTTTAAAACATGTACGTACGTACGTACGTACGTACGTACATGATGCGAAATCATGTGGTTTTTAAATTTTCACTAAGCAAAATTTTGCATCACACCGGGTAATATGATATTCACTGTACATACATTTTTTTTAAAGTTACGCAATCATAAATGTGTGCCGTTGTTTATTGGAAAAAAATTACAAATTTGTAAATTATATTCTTGTTTCTTTGAAGCATAAATAGGGAATTAATCTACAGCAAATACTGAACTTGTTCAGTACCTAACGCTACAGTACTAACAAAAAGTTATAAATATGAAATACCGGTATGCGTTTTGGGTAAAGAATTCATATTTTACCATTATTATTATAATAAACTTTTTTAACCAATGAAGGTCGAAATTTTGGTTAATTTATTATTAATTATTTCTATACTACAAGATTATCAAATGGTTTACGCACAGAAAGAACCATTAGCAAAATTGTGGAATATACCTGATGATAAGATACCTACATTATTAGAAATTGAGAGTAAATTAATAAAAGTGGATGGACTTCTAAAACTATTATTGGAAGAATATAATTCAAGTTTTGGAGGATCTTACATAAATGCAAAAACTGATCGTGTAATTATTAATACGGTAGACAGGACTAAGATCGATATTATAAAACATAGAATGAAGCCTTATGATGATTTACTTACTTTTAAAATTGCAACAAAATCCTTAGTTAAATTAGAATATTTATTTGATCGAATATTTCAACTAGCTAAAAGATTCAAACCAAGAAAAACTTTTGGTTTCATTGATATTGAATTTAATAATGTCGTTTTAGCCTACCCATATGAATTAGAGAAAATAAATAAAGCGTTTTTAGATGAAATTAGTCAATATAATGCGACCGTAATTCCTATAGGAAAAACCTAATTCATCTCTCACCCAAAGTCATGTTTCCACCCAAAGTCATGTTCCCACCCAAAGTCATGTTCCCACCCAAAGCCATGTTTCCAGCCAAAGTCATGTTTCCACCCAAAGTCATGTTTCCACCCAAAGTCATGTTCCCACCCAAAGTCATGCTCCCACCCAAAGTCATGCTCCCACCCAAAGTCATGCTTCCACCCAAAGTGTTGTTCCCACCCAAAGTGATGTTAACGTAGATAATACTATGGTGATAGATCAAATAACTACTGAGGTCGTAGGTGGAGATGGAATAATTAATGTAGCCGAGACTATCAAATGTTCAGTCGGCTTTTCGGCGACAAAAAAGAATGAAAGTGGCAATTTTATTGTAACAGCAGGACATTGCTCTACAAAGAGTAAGGCTTATTTTCATCTTTTTTCTTGGAAGAATAAAGTCGGCAGCTTTATTGGGTATATACCAATACCTTACCGTGGATTGCACGATGTCAATTTAATCAAAATAGATGAAAGTGTCAAAGAAAGTGTTAAACCATCAAGGCTTATAATGAATCAGGATTCTGATAAAAATGAATTATTGATTATTGATGATGGTGTGGCTTCTTCCAGTTATGGTGCTCATTTATGTAAATCTGGCCACACTACACACGTTACTTGCGGATACATAAAAGGATTCAATGGATTTTTTATAGATTATGACGCAAGTATAATCTATCCATTAACTTATTCAACCGCATTTGGTGCTAAAGGTGATAGTGGTGGTCCTACATTTTCTTTCAAAAAAGATTTAGGACATGTGAGTCTAAATGGTATTCACATTTGTGATAGTGGAAGTGATAAGGATCCATTTCACGGATCATCACCAATAGATAAAATTCTCAGAGACCGTCAGTTAGAGCTAGTCTCTTTTAATAATACTAGATAAATTAGATAAATTATTAAGGTAATTCTTATTTTTTTAATGAAATTTATTATTTCTACAATTGCCAATTATCATATTTGTATTTCATTAAGTCCTCCGAGCGAGTTGAAACTACCCAAAACATGATCCAAAAGTTTCAAGTCGGGTTCGGAAGAAGTCTTGGGTTGGGTTATATAAGATAACAAGTAAAGCAGTAAAGTATCGCACTAATGCAGTTGGTTTTTGTAAAATAGGTGATAAGTTAAAAAATGACGCATATCTAGTTATTTATTTATTATGTAAAGAACCAAGACATTAGGACTTAAGCGTGCATGTATAGTAAAAATAGATAATTTTTACATTCTCTTAAAATAATGACTGCATAGTATACATATTAATATATCGTTTTATCATCCATCATATTAATGATACAACCAATGACCTATTATAACTTATTGGCTAATTAAGCATTTTATTAAATTAAAATTTTGTATTATTTCGGAAAGAAATGCAGGCTTTGTAAGTCTATTCACTAAGACACTAATTTTCAGATAACGGATTAGTACATATCTATTACAGCTGTAAGTCACTCTTGTACTTGGTAAGTTACCAATAGGTTTAAACTCAACATAGTTTATACTGCTTTATAATTTAACTGATTCGAAAATTAATTA